AGAGCCACCAGGCCGGTCTAGCGGGGAGAACGGGTGTCGGTGGAAAACTGTGGAATGCCAGGAAACCAAAGGTGTGAGTGGACAAATCAGTACATCACAAAGTATGGCACAGATATTCGGGCTCTTTATGAAAGTAAATATTACTACATGTAGTAGCAAAATCTACTTGAGTAGATTATTCCTTTATTATCAGGACAATTTAACATTATTAGATTGTAACACTGAGGTATTAAACTCTAAGCAGCATATTACTCTTATTTAATTCTAGTCTTTTCAGTCAAGTAGTACATGACCTTGCGCTTAAGTCCCCCTATACGGCCACAAGATAAATGAGATGATTATTGGTATAGAAGAATTGAAAAATTCAGTCCTTTGTGGTAAACATTAGAATAGATGTGGTTACAATATAGAAAAAAACTGACCTATCATCAGACAAATCAACAAAACCTCTGCCACAGAAATACAGAGAAATGCAGCAACTGTGTGATGCTATCATGTCAACAGGGACCAAAATGTCTGGAGGATTTCCAGAGTTGATGAGCCGTACCATGTATTACCAGACTTTCCAGCCCCTGGATGGATCTATGTCATGGTCTATTAAGGCAATTCTGAAGACAAATGGAGGGCCCAACCTGGTGCAACCAATAAAGTTGCCAGTGAGTGTACATACAGTTAGAATGTTAGATGTAGAAGTTTGTTTTAAAAGAAAATGAATTAAAACATCTTATAAAATGAAATACACCTATAAATAAATTTAAAAACAAGACACTTAAATGTTGTTTCCAAGACATCCGTGTGTTGCTGAGATATCAACTGATGCTGAATTAAGGCCAGGGCTTTACATTTCAACGGCGCTAGTCCCGTCTTCACCTGAGACTCAACATTTTTACAGTGTTCACGCTGCTATCACTTATTCAGGATATTTATTTAAAAAAAAAAAATATAGAAATGTCAGAATAGCTGAAAGTTGTCTCGGGACAGAATATATTGTTTGTTAGTAAAACAGTGTGGTAAAAGTTTTCATTAACCAATGAGTAGCTTTGAACACAGAAAGTGTCTACAATGAGTTATGTTCAATTAACCCCTGCAAAATTCATGCTGACTGTTCAGTTTCAGTATTTTTCCCCCCATAGTTACCTCTGTGTGATGTCAGTGAGATGGATATCTCTAATATTTACATCAGTGTTGGGGAACTCCAGGTCTCAAGGGCCGGTGTCCTGCAGGTTTTAGATGTGTCCTTGATCCAACACATCTGATTTAAATGGCTAAATGACCTCCTCAACATGTCTTGAAGTTCTCCAGAGGCCTGGTAATGAACTAATCATCTGATTCAGGTGTGCTGACCCAGGATTATATCTAAAACCCACAGGACACCAGCCCTTGAGGCCTGGAGTTCCCCCACCCCTGATCTTAGGAAGCCCCGCCCACCTGCTGTTGAAATATTTTGTTTGTGAAAGGCAACACGTCAGTTTAGCTTTAAGGAAAGGTCAAGGGAGTAAAAAAAAAAAAGGGTACTAGTAGAAGTCTCAAAAACACATAAAATCTCTATGTATCAAATATGATACAGGGGGTAACCCACTGAAGCACTGTGGCATGACCTAATAAGGCATGTTCAATTAAGACATCTGAGAAATACTGACAACCTAAAACAGTTTTGTAGGACTGTCCAAAATATATCAGCATCTTTCTGCAAGTTTCATGAGCAGCTATAGAACACATCTGATGGAGGGTGCTGCTATTAAACAATGAAAAATAGTCAACTTTCAGGTGTCTGTCCAAAAGACTGGGCACAGTTACTTTCCCAAAATGTCTCACTACCAGCATCAGCCTCCTTGAAAAAAGGCACAAATAGTGCAAATCCAAATCCAGCTAATTTGTGTATTTTAACCAGCTTCCTTTCTGCCCATTATGCACTGTTTATTTTGGCCTCATTTATTTGGGAGGTTGCTCTGACTCCTTTTAATCTGCAGTTTCACAAAAGCTTTTACTGGATAATGACAGACTTCCTTTTGATCAGACAGTAAATGTGACACTACAAAGAATACTCACCAACAAATTTTCACC